AAAACCAACGGCCGGCCGGAAATCCAAGAGGCAAGGCACGGAAAACAGCAGCCCAAGGGAGGAAGCCAAGGAGCCACCGCATGGGAAAAGACATTTCTTGGAATTCCAAGAGACCTATATAATAAATAACATAAAAAGCATAAAAAGTACATTTAATATAAGATAAATATGAACTAAAATTATAGTTAATAATGAGCTAACCCTTAGTTCAATAAATGAACTAAAGACCAGCTCATAAATGAGCTAAAATTTCAGCTCAAAATGATTGAGCTTGTAAACTCGAGGGAGGCCAAAATTGATTTATTTTGGACCTGAGTTGACACCCCCTTTGTCTACATCAAGAACCCATTTGTCTAATATCACTTCCCTCCAAAACTCCTATTTTTGTATTTAGGATGTCATTAATTTGGAAAGATTTCAAATTCGAATTAATCTAATTTGAATTTCAAATCCACCCTCATTAATTACATTAAGTTTGGGAATTTTCTTTATTTAATTAATTAATCTATTCTGAAATTGATCGATTAATTAATCCCATACCCAAATTTCAAATGCTTTCCTAATTAGTACATCTATTTTAGGAAGCATCCTCAATCGATGCAAATGTAAAATTAATTAAGATTTGAAGCTATCAATCAACATTCAATGCAAATATCCACATATGTTGAATGTGGCCGCTCCCCTCTTCCCTCCATTAGCCGGCCCACCTTCTCTCCCCTTCTCTAATTATTTATTCCCTAATTTACGGCCTAAGATTAGAGAATATTAATTATCTCTTCCCTCTTTTATTCTTCTTGTTTGAAATTCGAAATTGTTAAATCTATCCCACCAAAATCTACAATTAATTTCAGATTTTGAAATTATCTCCCCCACCTCTCATTCTACATCAAAAATGCTCTTTATTGTTGACCATCACTTAAAACTAAATATGTTTATGGCACAGTTGTAATTCATCTTAATTTTTCTTCTATCATCACTTTATCCTATAACTTTCTTGCATAGCTTTAAAACCAATGGATGACTCATAAATCCCATCTTTAATTGTTAGGTTTAGGCTAACAATGATGTTGGTAGAAGTGGGTAACTTACATATGTATGTATATATGATTAGTTTTTTCTCATTAAGAATTATGATGTATGATATTGACATAGCAAGCTATTCTATAAGTCCGAGTTGATAGAGAAACCAAGGATTTATAGCCTTTGATCTTGACATGCATCTATGGTTATGCCCAAAGACATACCTAACTCAATCATGAACCATGATCAAATAGTCCATGTATTTGTCATTAATGTTCTACGATGAATATCACTGTTGAATGTACGGTCTCCCTTCCGCACCCCTCTTATGTCGTGGCCAATTGTGTATGCATGGATTCAAACTTATAGGTTGAGCCAAATGAGTGGACCATGTTGTAGAATTAATTATTCCATAAGCTTGATTTGATGAAGGTATAATGAAATCTTTATAGCCAATAGTTAAAGTACAAATTAATGGTTCCCCGCAAAAATAGCCATTATTTAATCATCAATCATAATCGATGTATTGTAGGAGGCAATCATCAACTGTAACCATGATGAATATCTAGAAATGCATTCCTCTCCATTTGACATTCTCTCCTTCTCCTTCAACCTTATTTAGGGGAAACTAACTTGTCACACAGTTTGAACTTTGTGTTCAGGCGTGATAAAAATGATGTAGAGGCTGTTAATGCAACTAACTACTCTAGAAGCATGTGCTAATGGAGAGGGAATAAAAAATGATTTATAGCCAATGTTCTTGTAGCATTTGTTTTATGCAATGAGATGCCTTCTAATGTGTTCATCAAGGGAAGGGCTAAAGGAACAACACTTATCCTAGTGTATTTAAATGATAGCCCCCCTACTTTCTTAATGGGATATTCATCATTCTTGCTTTTTTTGATGCAACCTATTTACAGGAATAGAAGTATTTAATAAGTGTATTTATTTTTTGGCCTCATGTTTATCGATCTTTTCTTTCTTGTGAACCAAATTTGTCTTATTGGGAAATCAATTTAATTCAATAACTCATCTAGTTTATGGTGCTACCAAGGTCATCCCTTTTTCCAAAACATGTTTAGTATGTGTTGACATTTTTAATAGAAAAAATAATTTTTATGGTGTAGAGTGTGTTGAATTAATTAATGTGCTTTACATGGCTAAATCATCAATTCCTTTTACTGATGGAACAATGGATACGTGAACAATTTTTTTGGTTAGGGAGGTAAAATCTTGTTGAATGGAGTTATTGCTTTGCAATTTTTTGGGAAAAAAAAGGAGTTTTCTTTGGAAGGAGATCAAGATCACATGGTTATATACATCTTGTACTTCTGGGCTACAAAGACCCCCATTGGAAATACAAATTAGCAAACATCATGGATACTTTCTTGTGCTCATTTCTCGAATGTCAATTATGTTCAATAACAATATGTTAGCAGTGCATCCAGATGAGCACCATAAGATGTAACCTCTTCTCTTTTTGGGAGATTGATAGCAATCTTATGGATCAAACTTGGATTTATATGTGTGCAAGCCAAGTCATTCTATGTTACAAAATTTACATTTCATGTAAACATACCCCTTCTTTTTGCGCCTTGTGTTGGTACTTTAACTTGAGTGCCATATTTTTACGCTGTATATTTTCTTTTTGCGTCACTACCTATTCTAACAAACAAAAAAATTAGTAGGAATAATATTCAATTAAAAAATAATGAATTTAATAGTAACTACTTGATTGGAAACATTTTTTCAACCTATAGGAATTTTTTCTAAAGCCTAGTTATCTTAATCTTGTAAACTTGTAGAAAACATTGTAATTCATTCAAATGAGAATTATATATTATTTAATGAAAACATGGTCTACAAATAGTGGTAACGGAATTGTTATAAATGAAATGAAGCAAATGAGTAGTTTAATTACAACAGATTTATCAGTAATTTATAAATCCTAAAGGAAAAAAGTAATTTGAGAGCAACTTTTAGTCTTTTGCGTCAATTCTAGGGCAATTTAAAACCAGAGAATGTTTTACTAAAAGATGTAGACAAATATACAAAAAATAGAAAGAGTGGTTATTACTAAAACAAAGGATCAGAAGACATTTAAACTTTTTTAGTTTGATAGTTTAAAGAAAAAATAATCCCAACCATCCAAAATTTATTTGATGAATGAAATTGGTAATTGCATTGTTTGCAATCTGAAATGATCCAAATCCATTAGATATATGTTGACACACTATTGACTTTAAAAGACTTGAGAAAGTGATAAACAAGTTTGCATTTCAAGAAAAGTAATGGAAAAAGGTACAATAACAATCAATGATAAGAGGAGAACATATATTTACATCAATGAAAGAAAGTTCTCATTCTTGTAAAAGAAAAAGAAAGCCACAAACTCTCGATCATTCATCCTTCTGCTTGATGTCAACTTTGATGCACACATTTTCTTTTAAAGACAAACTTGTTTCTCTCTCGTGATTTGGATCTGCATGAAGATGAACCTCTCGGGCGACCATACTCGATGCCCTAAACCTTAATAGTTTAATGAGGAAATGAGTGTTGTGGCTGACCGAAGAGATAATTAGTTTTTTTTAAAAATAAGTATTATATCATAAAACATATATTAGTATTATATTTATATAAATGCATTGTAACATTGCCTCAATTGCCTTCTAGCATGAAGTCTCGAGGCATATGCCTCAAATGAAAAGGGTACGCACCAATTGAGGCTAAAGCCTTAAGGGATTTTTTGTGCGCCTTAGATGAAGGCGTGCGCCTTGAACTTTTCTTCAACAATGATAAAAATGAATAATCCTTTTAAAAGTTAAATTAAAGAGGTAAAGTGAAAGTGAATAAGATCAAAATGAAGTAACATAAAAGGAGGGAGGCTGAGGGTAAATAGAAAGTAAGAAGATGAATACATAACCGTGGATGCAAGGGGTAGAAAGAGTAGATTATGAAAAAAGATTGACTTGCAGAAGTGATAACCCCTAGGAAATCAAATTTTATTTGTTTATTGTCTCTCATGAAATACGGCCCAAAAGCATATATATGTTAGTATCTATCATTTTGTGAAAAATATAAACTCAATAAAATTGATATACTTAGAAATATATGTCGAATCAAAAATTATTATTTTTTCTATTGAAAGTCTGAGTTGTGACATGAGCTATGACATTAAGAAGATAATCATGATGAATGACACAAAATGAATGTCCAAATTTTACAAAATTATAATAATGGCTTGATAATAATTTTTGAATTTGGTGTCCCATGGTGCAGTTTGCGTCTTATTCCTTATGGATATTCTATTCTATTTGCATGTTTATTTTGAAGGTAACTTTTAAGATTTAGATTTGAGAATGATTTTTACAAAACAAGGATGTTTTTGTCTTACTTTTCAAATACAAATAGTTGTGTTTTAACGTATGCCCTATTATCGTCATAATTTTTAATGGTACGAAATACTAAAGTTCCAATTTGAACTTCATGGCTCTGATTTGAATGGCGAATGTTTGTGGTTGGCTTTATAACCAGTCAAAAATTACAGTTGCGTTTTTTTATTAAACTTATTGTTTGTCATGCTTTGAAACAATTTGAAACTATTAATGACTACGAGGGCATCCCTTATAGGTTAGGTTGTAAAGAAAGATCCATTAGTAGTACTGCAAATTATTGTTTTGAACCCTAATGGCAATGATAATAATAAGGTGGTTTACAGAGGCATGCCTTAATAGGTTGAGCAAGGATCCATATGCTTTGTATTCTTGGTTTCATGGACAGTGTGGATGATGATTTTAAGGTGTTTTACAGAAGTGAATGTAGTATGTTAAAAGTATCTATGAACTTCATGACAAAAATATACAGAAAATTATCATGATTATTATATTTTCAGGAACTGAAGGTCTAAGTCCATTGTATTTTCCAATATTATACTTAGCCATTGTTTCTCCGTACCCATAATCTTATTGGAACCTATGCAGAGACAATTTACAACTTCTGAGGCAGCGCTACTATTATGCCACATGGAAAGCTGATGGTACCAGATATATGATGCTTATTGCCTTACATGGCTGCTACTTGATTGATCGAAATTTCTGCTTTCGGAGGGTACAATTACGTTTTCCATTGAAGGTTGAGTTTGAGGTAGGTACGTACCTTATCTGAATCATAGAAAAGTTAATGTTGTTTGTTCTAACTCGATGTTCTACAATTTGTAATTAGAAGCTAGCAATTTTACTTTTCTCATTGCAAGGGTTACCTTTTCCATCACTACACGTTAATTGATGGGGAAATGATCATTGATGCTGTACCTGATATCGGACTGAAGAGGAGATACCTGGCCTATGATTTAATAGCCCTTAATAATCAGTCCGTTATAAAGGTTAGTCAGTATTTCAAAATGTTATATTTGATTACTTTGAAAATTCTAGACATAAAATTTACCACACTTCGAAGCTACTCTCTCGAAGGCACACTCATAGGACTTAGATTGTTTCGTGCGCGGACTTGCACGTTGGTTTATATCTACTTGCATAGTTGCCTCTCTTTGTTGTGGTTACCAAATAGTTGAACTGGTTATTTTAAGTATGGCTAGTATTTATAGAAGAGCAGATCCTTTTTATCCCTATATTATTGCATTTAAGCTATTTCTGCATCTTTTTTGTATTTGTGATTATACAGTTTTAAAATTGAATATTTGTACATATGTGTGCATTTTTTAACGCATCAACATACACTCAACAAATATCGATTTTTTTTATTGTTCTCACAATTTGTTTTTTCTTTTGTTGTTACAAATGGTTGAATTGCTAAATTGTAAAGAGTCTATATGCTTGATAGTCCTAAGTTTGTTGGAAAGTAGGTTATATGCGTTCTTACATATTTCTTTTTCCCTTGGTGGCCAAATAATTGAATTATTAATTCTTTAGTTGATGTGGAATTCATGTTGAATTGTCTTTGTTTTGTTGGAAGTTGAATTTACACCAGAAATTTTATGCTGTAGGCTTATGCTTTATGTGAGGAGTCTGAATTTTAAAAGGAAAAATGGTTTTTAAATTGATATCATATTTAAACCATGATTGCTGTCAGGCTCGAGCATAAAAATATAGAAATGTTTGATAGTGTATACCTATGCATTTGAATTGCATGTTTGCTACATAAATTTGCTGTTCAATTAGTTAACATGTTTTTTTTTTAATAATTTTTTTTAATGAACTTCTCATTACTAGAGAATGTGTGTATGAATGTATGTTATGTTATATTCAAAACTTCTTCCATTCTTTAATGTTTATCATAAATGAAATTGCTTATTGCTCATATTTTATGTGTATGGAAAACGGCTCCTTTGATTGATGAGGACATCGACAGACGCTACCGACATGTTTATCGCCGGCGAAACCGCTGATCGACGGCCACGATTCAGCGCCTCTACTTTTGATTGAGATGACATGATGTATTTTATTATTGTCTGTTTTGATTTACTGTTTCCCATTTTACCCCTGTGGGGAGTTATGTTTCTTTGTAGCCCGTATTCTACTAGTGTTACAAGGTTCACCATAGAATCTGGTATACATTAGGGAATGCTCTAACAATTGTCGAATTGAAGGAAGAATAGACAATGGGAGCAAGTGAAAAAAGGTTGGGAATTTAGGTAGAAATGTAATGAGCTATCACACTTGTGGTGGCCTGCCCCTTCATTGTGATGTCCTAATTGACGATTACAATAATGGCTGGCCTCATTTTATATAAACACTAGCACAGGGACATGGAGGGGCTGCATTGATGTTGTAGGTAATTTTCTATACATGTGAAGCCGTACATGGTAGGGATGTTATATAGTTGGGAAGTCATGACCATCATGTTTTAACTCTCAATTTTGTTATGTTTGTGTTGCTGCTTTTATCTTCTGTGATGCATAATACAAAGCCACTCTTTACTTTGATAAAGATGGGCTATGACCAAGGCTAGAAATGTAACGAGAGAATATGATTATGTACAGGGTAAGATGGGGGTGCATGGCTCTTTTCAAGGTGCTAAGTTTTTCAAAATTGAAAAATAATCATGCATAGATCAGTGTATCACATGCAGGAAGCCCTCATTTAAGGATTAGATAACAAAAATCTGCTTTCTTTGTGAGTCAGCATTCTGCATACTCACTTTTTTAGACGTCTTGGCCTCAAAGCCAAGCCCTATTCTCTAAGCAAAACTACCTTCCCTACTCTCCATATAAATTGAGACAAAATTTCATAGTTTTGAAAGTATTTAAGTGTGTTAGCTGGTACCTCTTTGCCTCTTTTTATGCAAATCAATAAATTCAAAGGTCGGGCTGGCTATGCCTCATGTGAAGTATAATTTATAAGTCATTTTGTACTCCATTAGACTTAGGTTCGATGCACTATCCCTTAGTAGTTCTCACCTTGGTTTTACAGTCCGAGATAGTTGTTGACTTCAGTTACTTCATAAGTTCTCATTTTCCGGGCATTTATTTTAACATGCGTCATTAGAATGTAAGCCCCATCATTCTAAATTAAAATAATCAACTTAAATAAAATTTGATTCTAAAAGGTAAAACCCAACATAGGATAGTCTGAGCACCTCTGAGCTTCGTCAAAATCAAGTGCTCATTCTCCCTTGGCTCTCATTCCAAGAAATCTGATTAAAGGTGATCATCCTCCCTTGAAATTCTGAAAGACCAAAATATTTAAATAAGAATTTCTTGACTTTAAAAATGAAAACATCAGCCAATATTTTAATGGTTCTTAAAATAATAGGGAAACCACTAGTGCAATAAAAAATTTCAAAGTACCAAATACTTGAGATGTAATTAACCATAGGGGCTTTCTTATGGGACATCCATATCCTAGAATAAAATAAACCTCATTCAATTAAATATTGAATGGGAGAAAATCTCTCTTAAAATTAAAATTGTAAATTTTGCTAATGTGTCCATAGGGAAATAAAATTTTTATCCTTCGGGGTAATATATTATTTTCTATGCCGTGCTTGATCCCAAAATATACAATCCATTGAGGATGACAAAATTTCTCCAACAATCACAACATATCATCAAATTGTTATTAGACTAGGCAGGCAAATTCACAACATCTGTGTATGTGAAAATTGATGTAAGTACCGAAAGGTTCAAACCATCTCTCCTCATATCTTATAATATTTTAATTTCCAGCATCTTCTAATATATTTCTACCCTTCAAATGCTAAACCACTAAATTGGAACAAATAATCTCAAAACTCGGTCATAAAATAACAGAGTTTCAACATGAGTAAGTATTATTATATTGAAGATGACTGTTACATATGAGGTTCTACTTAAATGATTGTGTCACCTATGAGGCTCTACTTAAAATAACACCATTCACTTCATAGAAATAAAAGGAGAACTTGAACTACAATTCCTGAAGGACATAAGATTTTAATCAAGTGCCAATTCAAATGCCAATTCAAATGCCAATTCAGAAAAGAAAGGAAGAACTAGAAGCTATTTAAGAAAAATAAAGGATTAAAAGGTTAGCTCAACTGCCAATTCGAAAAAAAAGGAAGAACTTGAAACCCATGTATCACATGAAAAAACAAGATACTAATTTCAATTTCAAGTAACCACAATAGGGATGAAAGAACCCAAGCCCTTTCCAGGAGAAGCAAAAAACTATATTGTTTCAAGGTGGTGATACAGCAACTGATGACTGATTATGTAATAAGCTAGCCACCCTTTAAAGGTTCCACCACATAAAGCTCCGCTGAATGTTCAGACACTTTTTCAAAATTAATACTCACCAATTATCTCGAGGATTTCTTTGAGGTTCTTTGATGGCAGTGTTGAAGGAGGGTTGTGAGAGTGAGTAGGAATTGGTAGCTTTCCTTCCCAAATGCACTTCTATAAATGCCTTTTTTACGTCAGAATGGTAGATTTGGGAGAGGCAGGTTGTTTTGTAACTTTGTTCTCCTATTGCACTTTCTTTGAGAGAGATAAAGAGAGGTTAAGACATCACACAATTGATAGTAACTGTCTATGATGTTTTTAACTAGGCTTTGTTTGGGTTCTTTTTTGTGGTTGCTGTGTTTTATTTTACAAAATAAAATTACTTCTTACAGACACAGATTTGCTGCTTTACAAGTGCGTTGCTTATTATTGTTAAGTGCAAGGCACATTAAGATAGGGCTCTCTGTTACATGATATCTTAAAAAAATAGAATAGAGACATGACATCCTCTTTGATAGCTAAAACAGAAGGAATGACCGATGGATAAAAGTCATAATATCATGAAACATATGTGCCTTAACAAACTCTAAGCTGTCGACTACATATTGTTTGCCAACAGGTTTTGCAAGAGTAAACTTAATGTTTTTTAAGATTAAACTAGTGCAGGCTGAAACTTCCTACTCATTCATGCCTAATCCATCTTGTTAAGTTTAATTATCCTTCTAAGTTCAGATGAACCAAATTTTATTGGTATCTATTACACTGAATTAGATTGCCATATCATTTACACTATTTATGTTTGTACATTAATATAATTGAAATTTGGTCTGTTACATAGATTAATGTTCTTGTACCGGATATTACAGTTGCCCTTTTCTGAGCGGTGGAAATTACTTGAAGAAGAAGTCATTCGGCCTCGAAACAATGAAAAGAAGTATATTGACCGTGAAGGAAAGGGGAATTTAACATATAGATACGAAATGGAGCCATTTGGAGTACGGACATGAACTTGAAGAACTGGTGTTTTATTATTATTATTTTTTTTACTTTTAGTATATCTTGATTTTTTTTTCAGGTCAGGCGGAAGGATTTTTGGTTATTATCAACTGTTGGTAAACTTTTGAAAGGGTTTATCCCTAGTCTTTCACATGCATCTGATGGGCTTATATTCCAGGTACAGTACCATTTTGTAATTTTACTCTGAAATATTTGGTTTACTGGTAAATATTTATTCACGATTTCTTGTAAATGTTTTATTCTTCGAATGATAAGCTTCCATTACTGTTTCCTATACCTAACTGTCTCTAATTATTTATTTAAAGGGTTTCCATAAGAACATATATTTGCTCATACTTAAGAAGGTCTAACATGTGTTTTAAGGGTCTGAACCAGGTGATTAGAAAATAGAGTTGATTTTATTATCACTATGTCAATTTTCTAATCCCACCGTTGGGTGAAATTATCTATAACTTTTATCTGTGTAAGTATTTATTTCTTTTCCTCGGAACTGATGGAGCCTTTCTTAATTGATCTTTTGGTTGTAAAACTAAATTTATTTTTTGATTCTTATTTAATTTCTATCCTCTACTCTAACTTCATGATTAACTTTTGAGATTGTTTACCCAATAATTACTGCATTGCTTTATATTTTCTTTTTTCCTTTCATATTTGCATCAAATTTTTGTACTACATTTAATTTTGCAGCTCTTAGTACTTGGATTATCATTAAAATGGTTTTTTATCAAAATTATGACATTTCTCTTATTCCACAAAATTTTGGTGCAATTAACTTCTCTGTCTTCATTAATTTACCGTTTTTGTAGAGTTAGTTTAAGGCACTTATTTTTATTATGGGTTTCACTCATATTGATGTATGATTAGCTTCACATCAACTATCATTTACATGATATTTATTAGCTAACTCGGAAAAAAAAAACATTCTTTGTGTTTCGTTGCCTGGCATAGTGGCTAAAGCTATGTTATGTTGTGTCATTGCTAACTTTTGAATTTGCACAATACTTTTCTATCAATTATCATAGTACAAAATAGTCTTTAAACATTTTACTTATAAAACCAATGTTTTGAAAGTTGAATTGGACCGGCTAGTTCAACCGGGTTCCGATCAAGTTATTGGTTTGATTAGGTTTGAAAATTGCATTTGCATCGAACTAGTTTGACCAGCCGATTCGATCGGAAAGTCGTTGAACCGATTCTGATTTTGTAGAATGGCTGATTCTACAAAGTTTTAAAATTTATTTTAATAAAAATTTAAATTATATATTTTATTTTTATTAAATCTTTTAAAAATAGTTTATTCTCATATGGAGCTAAATTCAAGCACAATACATTTATGTCGTCTCGCATAAGAGATTTTGTTGCTAGTTGTCTGTACTTAAATATAAAGACAACTATTTAAAACTTTCTTATGATGTGGGACTAGAAAGCTGTGTATGAATATTGGATGAGTTAGACTGTGAATTTGGGTTGGGTTGAGCTGCAAATTTGAGCTACCTGTAATATGTATTATAAAAGTTAATAAGAACTCTTTGTATATTATAAATTTATAGATTTCATTAAATATTATTCTTACTATAAATTATATTTATATTACATTTATATTATAATTTTTTTAATTTGTAATGTACTTAATGCCCATATATCTACATTTGTATTATGCATATACTTTTATTCACATTAATTGTTACTCAAGATTTGTACCGAGCTTTATGTCATTTTAATTGAGCTTGTTCAAGAGCCTTGATGCATGTAAATTTCATTTCAATTTTATTTTGAACTTTATTGTAATTTGAATTTTATTTTATTTTTTATAATTTTTCTACCCTATGATGGAAGGCAACCAATGATTATGTGTAGGTTGTGCTCTTGGACATGCTATGCCTTTGGTGTGCTAGTTTCTTTAGTTCCATGGCATGTGGGCTAACTTGGGTTTGACCCATGTTCTTTGGCTGTGGATTTGTTGATTTGGGTATGGCTGGCTTGAGATTGTTGGGCTTTAGTTGCCTTTATTTGGCTTTTTTCTGTTTTTGTGCATACCGGGTTCATTTCCCCTCTTTATGCCTTTTCGGCTCCTCTGCCTGTCCCGATTCTTTCCCTGGCGCCTGTTCCGTTCGCGGTTGTTCCTGTTTCCCGCGTGCCTCTTCGTGTGCTGCTCTAGCAAGTTGTCTTTTGGTTTTTTTCCTCACCCTTTCTTATTGGTTTGAGTGGGTGGCTGTTTGGCTGTTTAGTTCCCTCTCTTCACCTATATAATGAGGCTGATTTGTGGCATTTGGAGCTGATTTTTGGTGAGTGATAAACACTAAAACCTGAGGGTTTCTTCTTTGATAGCTTGCGAGCTATGTTCCCCTTTCTCTCCTTTATATAATTTCATATCGGGCTTCTTATCTATTTCTTCTCTCCGCAAGTGTCCACCCTATTTGCATCTTTCTTCTAAAGCTTTTGAAGGTGTTGGTTTGCCGGTTTGTTAGCATTTGCCAGAGGAGTTTGTGGTGGACGTTGGCCCAAAGTTGCTGTGGTGGACCTCTGGTTTGCATGTCTTTGAGCACTAATCATCTTACCTACTATTTCGATGCATGTGAGGTGACCACTAGCTGGTCGTTCTGAGGGTAATTTTTGTTTTTAATTTTCTCAGTGTTTAACTTCCGTTTGTTTTCAAGTTTGTTTGGTGTTGGCTTACTTAGTATTGAATTGAGTCTGGTTCTACTTCCCCTAGTGTTCTCCTTTGTTTGGTTTTTAGTATGAGTTGCTTGCATCAAGCCTTAATTGAGGTAATTATGTAGTCGCTTTATATGGAATTTATATTATATTTGAATAATTTTTATATTTATTATTTCGTTTGGTTCAATCCTGGTTGAACCATTGAACCTTGCACCTATCCTTTTTCCGATTCTTTATCAGGTCCATTTTGCACAACCTAATGTAAAACATAATTTATTTTTTGAAACCGATGAAGTTTTCTCCACCATCATTTCATGCATAACTTAGTTTGATTACCTAATAATTACTGCAATCCTTTGCCTTCTTTCTCCATAAATATTTGTCTCAAAATTTTACCTTTACAATAATTTTGCATATCTTGGTATTTAGGATCTTTTATCCAAATTATTTTAATGTTTTCTAAAACTATTTTGGTCTCAATTGGTATTTCATTTGGACCTAATCTGTCATAAAATTTCTAATCTAACCCAAATTGATTTCTATACAACAATTTATACTTCAATTGTTGTTTTTGCCTTTATATGAAGAATTCTTTGTTTAAAACTCTCATTTAATAGATTCTGATTGCAACTTTTGATCTTCTTTAGAACACTTCTTTAGTGACGTTCAGTTTAAAGGGCCTTTTATCTTTATTCTTAATAAATCTTGATTTCCTTGCTCTTGCAGTAGTTTTTTTCTCTTATTCGCCAACCGTTGACGAGCTCATTTTGCAAATGAAATAGAATTGTAACTTTTGTTCTGAGAAATCTCTCTATATAAAATTTTGACCCGTTCCATGCAAGCTTCCTTATAATTATTGTCGTACTGGGTGCTTATTTTTAACCATTCTATAGAAGTACTTTTTACTTAATAAATTTTTGTAGCTGCTCAATTACCAAGCCTCCTATTTTCTGTCAGTAGATTCTCGTAGAGTTTTTTATTCTTTCTTAGTAGATTCTCGTAGAATTTCTATGATGCTACAAATGCAACTAGTCTTCTGCAAAGACCTTTTTGCAATTTTTTTTTGAATAAATGCTGACAACCTGATTCTCCTCCTGTTCTTTTGCTATATTTTGGTCGATAATTATTTGTTTGATTGCAGTAATTACACATTTACAATTTTTGGTTAATTAACCTTAGTAGAACACTTGCCTACCAAATAGTATTTTTAACTTGAAAATCTCACTTTGCATTTCATGTTTAGTTACCCAGAGTCATTTATAAATTTCATATGAAACTTAGTTATTTTTTGTTGAAGTATTTTTGTTTATTTATAGAATTTTTATATTGCAGAGTTTTAGATTCTCAGTACGTAATAGTTACCCCCTTGTGTTCAGGGTTGGGATGACCCATATGTTCCTCGCACGCATGAAGGTCTTTTAAAGTGGAAATATCCTGAAATGAATTCAGTTGACTTCCTGTTTGAGGTGTTATTTTAAACTCATTGTTGTAGTATTTTATACAACCATGTATTTCTGAGGCATTCACTAAGATTTTTGAAACTCTCTATAAACTCACTTTTTTTTTCTTCTGTTGCATGTCCACAGATTGGGACTGACAATCGCCAATCAGTTTTTCTTTATGAGAGAGGAAAGAAGAAGCTTATGGATGGTTACAGAGTAGCTTTTAAGGGTAATATCCTTTGTTGTTTTTTTTCAGTTCCAAATCTCTTTGTTATGCTTATTTCCTTGTACATTCATCTATTCTCTCAGTAATATATCTTTTGACCATTTTTGCGTTTTCTGTAAATATTTTTGCATTCGTAACATATATATGCACTCATTCCCATTTATTTATTGCTACAATTAGAACAACGATACCCAAATTACAACTCTGCACTAACCCCAATAGAGAGATTCGGTGTTGTTATGGACTTCTTGAATCTCAGATGCAGGATTGTCTTAAGGCCGCTCAAGATGAACTGTGGACATCAATGTGCTCTTTAGGTGCATAGCTTTCTGATGAGGACATCAGATTTCGACACGTGTATCATCGCCGGAGACGCAGATCGACGGCTACAATCCAAAGCCTTTATTTCTGATTTACTTGTATTTTATTTATGCTTTTATTTTTATTTTCCTAGTTTTCCCCTGTGGGCATTGAGTCATTTATGTAGCCCTAAGGGCATTTGTGTCAGTTTCATTTTATTTTATCTTGGCCTATTTAAAGGAGGCCTCATGCAATGTATGTTATTGATGAATGATTAAATGAAAAAGTTTATTCTAATTGTGTGATCTCTTAGTGAGTTCATGAGAGCAGAAAGATCTCTTTGTGAGTTCTGATTTTCCCAAGATTTCTTTGTGAGATTTGGGGTGGAAGTACTTGAGGTGAGTGGCTCCCTAATTCTTCAAATTTTCTTTCTTATTCCCCTTGAATTGATCTTCCCCCTCCCCATAAGCCCCTTGCCGCCGCCGGTCCCTTCTGTCAACCACCCACCGCCGGCCTTCCTCCCCCTTCATCCCCTCTCCACTTCTCTAGTCGCCGGCCTCCCTTCTTAGGATTACAAATTTGAAATTCAAATTTTCCCCAAGAGACATTGACGACTTTCCTAAAATAACTCCATGATTATAGGCAATCCTCTTAATTGAATTTCAATTTAAATTTGAAATTCAAACAAATTCCAATTAATTGCCTTTATATTAGGAAACTTCCCCTTCTTAGAAAATCTGAAATTTAATTAAGATTTTTTCTTAAAACCTTTGATTAGTGTGTGGGCCCCATTTAATTAAAACCCAAGCCTCTCTCTCCAATACATATGGTCGGCCTCTTTAATGGGCTTACCTCTCTCCCAAATTAAATTAAAAGTTCCACCAATTCAGCCCCAAATCCCTCCCCATTGCCGCCCCTCTCCCCCTCTTGGGATTAATTTGAATTTTCAAATTAAATACTTCCCCAAACTACTAAAATCTGAAACAATTTCATATTTTCTGCAATTACCTATTGACCTCCCATCCTAGCCGATCCCCTCCAAGTCTTCTCGCCGGCCCCACGTCCTCCCTCCAAAATGCCACATCCACCCCTCCTCTTCTCCTTGCTTCCGTCGTTGCTCCTTCATCTCCTGACAAGGATGCTTGGCGGATCCGGAAGTTGATCACGACTTTGCTTACAACGACGAGGGGAGATTGACATCTTCCTCTCCCCCTTCTACGTGCCGGATTGGGAGTACGACATCACCGTGGAACGTTACGTCAATCACATAGTTTATGCCTTGCCGGAACCATCGATCTTTAACGACCCAGAACTCCGTGGATTCTTATCGGACGTCCACCCGCTTCCCTAACTCCCGCTTCTTCCCCGGCGACTAGTCCTCTCGGTATCACTTGTGTGATAGTGGCATCTCTAAGTGTGCTTGCAATCCTCCTCCGCTAGTCTCCACTTTCAAGAGTTAAGTGAAGGAGTTCTAGGTGAAGGATCTAGATTTTAAATTTGAGGCTTTGTTATATTTGCTACTTGCATTTTCTATTAGTCTTGGTTGTTATTTTGCAAGTTCTAGTAATCTCGAAGTGTCTTCTTTTTCTAGTGCTTAATCTTTCATGATATCTTCTTAAACTTCCACTTGAGTAAACTAGATTTTATTGGTAGTGCGCAAAGTTCATAACTTTTATTAATCTTTTAATTGCAATTCTTGTCATCGCATTTAGTTTCACATCACTTTCCTCATATTTCTCACACAAGTTTAGAAACAGAATTCATAGCATTTTTATATGTAGAGGTCACTCGTCTTGTTTTGGTGATTGCATCTTCACTGGCAATTTTTGTAGCACTGGAACTTTTGAGGCGAGAGGTTATGCGTAGTTGGTAGTCCAACCAACTTGCATGGCTTGCTTTTGTTTGTTAATTTATAGGTTGTATGGTGCTTTATTTATAGTTTTCATAGCTCTTGCTAACAACTAGCTGCTTCTAAATGTTAGGCAAAATGTAAAATGAAATAATTGTTTTATTAGGTGCATGCTAGTCGGTTGATTAGTCTGTGAATGTATAATGAGATGCTATTTGTTGCATTCATTATTATGAATGTATTTATTGGCATATATCATCATCATTAGCCTTATCCCAATTGTTTGAGTTTAATTCAAGGTTGTGAAAATCGGACCGCACAACGAACTAGAAGGAGAGGTTCATGGTTCGATCGGTCGAGCTGACATAATAAATAATAATATATATTAAAATTTTAAAAAATTAACATAATTTAATATAAATATATGAGCATTTAATAATATTAATAAAATTTTAAAAATATATAATAAAAATTTATAAATAAAAATATCATTTAAGAATAATATTTTTATATGTTTATAATTAAAAATATTTATAAGAATAATATTTAATATAATATATAAATTCATAATATTAAAAATTTTAAATATTAATTCTTATATAAAATATTATTATAAAAATATAATACACATAAAGCCAAATTTATAGGGCCCAACCAGCTTAAAATTTCAACGCAACTAAGCCTAAACACTTCACATGTTAAAATATTCATGGCCAACTTTTAGTCGCACATCATAGGGGAGTTTTGAAGGTAGTGCCTTTTAACCCTTTCAATGATGTGAAACACCTTTTTCTAAACATATTTAATGTGTGATACTTGAAATAATATGCAATATATTAAAGGGATAATTAATCATTATATTAATAAAAATTTTAAGAAGTAAAAAAAAAAAATAAATAAACAAAAATATTTTTTCTTTATATAACCAACCGGATTCTTTCCAAACCGGACTGGTTCAGTGGTTCCCCGGTTCCATCCGGTCCGATGGCAATGCCGATTCTATAGGCTGATATGGACTGCTCACCAGACCGATTCATGGCTGAACTGGCTGGTGTCGGTCCGTGTGTTCCAAAAACCATTGGTTTAATTGTATAATTTTTTTTTTTCCATTTATTCTTGCTGAGTGTTGTTGGGAGTATTACTATAGTAATAACAACAAAAACCTTTTATTCAAATCATGTGAGGTCAACTACATAAATATTTTTTCTCATTGAGTGTGTTTGAGATTGATAACCTTATTTTTTTTGCAATTCAATGAATTTTTTTTTCCATGTAACCCCTTCATTAGAGGAAGGGCTGACCTGAGCTTTGAAGATTTCGTGGTTGGAGGTGGCATGGGTTTAGGGGGTGTTTGGGATTGGATAGCGGGGACAAAGAGCTGGATCAAGGGGACGTTTGTTTGTGCAGATATATAATGCTTCGTTATCTTTAGTTCGAGGGGAGAAGTGTCATTGAGCTTTTGATTAACTTTAATCTCTCAAAAGTGAAAATCTTTTATTGTTTATCTTAATGGAGGAAAACTTTATATATAATAGAGTAAGGGAGCAACCATGATTTATACCACTATTAAATATAGAGGAATATTTATATATTTGACATTTTCCTATGCCTTAAAGATAACTAAAGGGAGGGTGTATGCATCTCTACCATGTATCGTCAATATTTGAATTAGAAAAAAGCAATTAAAAAAAGCTTCTCAATAATACAAGAAAATCAACTAAATACGAATTGAGAGTTTTCAATTATGATGCACCAACACTTTTCAGATCAACGAGTTATTTGTAGTGTCTGATAGTATCGCGACATGAACATACATTCCAACACGGCATACTGACACTTGTCAGATATGTCCGAAGGAACATGTCCATTTAAAAAATATTAAAAGAAATTTACCACCACGTGGTCAAACATTTTTATGAAAAAATTTTAAATATAATTTATTGTTATTCCCAATTGTTATTAGCCAAAAGATAAAAAAATTTATTCCTAGTGAGGGGATGTGACTTTGGGGATCAAGTCATTAATTAAGAATACACGTTTTAGATTATCTTGGATCATTGTTTAGGAGTGATGGTGAAATGGATGGGGATATTATCAGCAGAATTCAAATTGGATGGTTGAAGTGGAGGAATGCATCGGGCTTGTTGTGTGATAAAAAAGTACCCCTCAAACTTAAGGGAAAATTCTATAAGATGGTAGTGAGGCCTTCAATGCTTTATGGTGCCGAATGTTGGCCATTAAAAAAGAAGCATAATACTAAGTTAAGTGTAGCAGAGATGAGGATGCTCAGGTGGATGAGTGGCTTTACCCTTAGAGATAGGATACGAAATGAGCATATACGTGAAAAGGTTGGAGTAGCTCCAGTAGAAGATAAGATTAGAGAAAGTCGCCTTAGATGGTTTGGTCACATAAAACGGCGGTCTTGCATGATCCCGGTTAGGAGAGTAAAGGTAGATTTTTTACTTATGTTAAGAAAGGTAGAGGTAGACCTAAAAAGACTTGGTTAGAAAATATTAGGAATGACCTTTCTTTATTAGATTTAAACGAGAATTTGACCTTTAATAGGACACAATGGAGAAAAAGGATTCATGTAGTTGACCCCACGTTGTGGGATAAAGGCTTGATGTTGTTGTTGTTGTTGTTACTCTCCAAAGCCCCAAATCAATCACTCGCACCCAATGCCCCATTCCCTGAACATTCTCCTTTTTATTTCGGGATTTTTACATATTTAACACTTTAAACTATTATAAATACATATTGAACATCTAAACTTTTGTATTTACTAATATGTCACCTAAAACCCCCCTTTTCATCTATTTAAGCGTTGTCAGAAATCCCTATCCGCCTCATTTTTGCGTGCGATTACTCCGTTCTTCGAGGGACCGACTGTCTTCCCCGCCTCGCCTTCTCCATCGAGCAGTCCTCCGGTTGGTCGTTTTTCTTCCAAGGAAAATTACCAAGGAAAATTTCGAGAGAGACATTGAGCAACCATCGCATTCTGGTGTTTGTCTTCCACAAGTAGTCCTCCACTCGCCTATTAGTCCGTCGAGTATGAACCCTGCCTTCCATACAACAAGCGACCCTCAGTTTGGCTAACTCATTCTGATTCACTTTTTTTACTTTGGGTAACTCATTTATTATTTGGATACAGAGAAATGAATTCGAGTAATTTTTGCTTCATTGTCTTCAAATTTGGTGGATGTTGGAGTGAGGTTCAGGGTCAGAGTTGAATGAAGTATGTGGGTGGAACTTGGAAGTCAGAAAACCTTAAAGCTTTGAAGAGATGAAATCAGTTTGTTGTTTTTAAAAGAAAGAGTTGAAGCACTTTATCATTGGCTAAGGGGTTAATCTTTTGACTTACACTATCATGTCAATGGAACATCCCCTAAGAATTATATGTTGGTTTCAAGCGATTCAGATATAGTTGACATACTTAGCGGTTCTTGTGAAAGGAACAA